AAACACATTTCCTTCTCTCAGAGTCCAGTGCTGTGGCCTTAGCAAGAAAAAGGACAGCAGCTTTTCTCTCTCATGGGAGGTGACACCTGGAGAGGGCACATGGGAGTGTTTGGAAAGGAAAAAGCCCCTTGGGGTTTTGGAGCTGGGCTGTGTGATGTGCTCTGGTCCTTGGCCAGGGGACAGCAGTGACATTGGGAGTGTGGCACTTGGGTGTGGGTGATCCAGCCCTGCTGGGCTCCAAGCTAAAGCCACCAGGGCTGCTGTGGCACCAGCTCACTGCTCCCACAGTGTCTGGGCACACCCTGCTCCTTCAGGGGCAGGCTGGGGATCCTCTGGCTCAGAGGGGCCCCCATAAACTGATTTACACCTTCTTTTGCCTTGTCATATTCAACGTGGCAAAATAGCAGACAATGGCCTTGGCCTGGGTTCCAACAGGACTGTTTGACATCCCCTTTCTAGCTCTTTTAAATGTTTGCTGTATCTTTTGATGGAAATCTATAGGTTTTTCAAGTCCATGGCAGAAGGGAAGACAACCAGGGGGTGTCCTGAACTGCTCAGGGGCTCCATCAATATTTGGGGGAGACCAAAGCAGGTGGGAGAGGGCAGCAGTGCAGAAGGCTTGATGAGAGGCAGAGGGTGCCTGTGGTGAATGCACAGTGTGTTTGTTCTCTTGCCAGGATCATGCCAGGGCTCTCAGTTCTCTGGGCATGTTGCTGAGAGGACTCCAGGCTGTGGTGATTGTGCCACACTGCTTGGTGTGAGGAGCCATGGGCATGCAAGGGAAGAATTCCCCTCCTTGTGCCACTTGTGGCTGTGTAAACCATTGGAAAATGCACAGGCAGATCTCTGTTGGGTGATGTGTTTGACAGGGAGCTGGGATCTGCACTGAAGCTTCGCTGCTTTGATTAGAAGGAACCTAAATAGTTTCAAATTTACCTAAATCTTCCTTCTTCAGCTTAATTTCTCTGTCAATATTTTTGGATGCTAAAAGAAAAATGTAATTTTTTGGTGTCTTTTTTTAGAGAAGGAAAAAAAATGGAAGACTGCTCAAAATTTGATTAAATATTTAAAGCACAGTTTTTATTTAGAAACTGGCACTTTATCAAATTAAACAACCCATTAAGCTTGTAATCATGCTCTGTGTTTTGGGGCACAATGCCTTTTGCATCTTTTGAAATGAGAATTTGTGTCATCACTCAGCACGTGCAGAGGAGAAAATAATCTTCCATTGCATTGTTTCATTTTAATGCTGTCTGAAATAATATTTTCAATATCTTTTTTCATTGTTTATTTGCATTCTTTTTCTGACACATGACTTACAGAGGAAATTTGAAATCAAGTCACAAAATTGAGATCGCTGATAAGCTTCTGAAATTCCTTAAATATTCAGCTTGAATATTCTTTCATCAGTGGGTTTGAGTAATTGCTTTTTCACTGCCAGCAGAGGCAGTCATTGCAGCTTTGAGCATTGCTGGGGTCTTGAGGCTGTTTTAAGGGTAGGTGATCAAATACTTCAAGGTGTGGCTCTTGCAGAGCAGCAGTGTCAGCTCTGGGGGATGGAGCCCACAGAAAGGCCAGTGAAGGCCAGAAGGAGGAATTGAGTCCTGGATTTCTGCAGGGAGCAGGGATGTCAGAGCCCCTCCCAAACCCTGGGTGGGAGAGGGGATCCCTGAGCCACAGCCCCTGCTGCAGAGTGGTGTCCCCACAACCGAGGCTGTGCCTGCCACATCCCCAGGGCTGCCTCTGCAGGGTGGGAGTTGAGTCCTCTCCCACATTCCTCATGCCAAGCAAGGACCCTCCCTGTGTGAGCCAGGTGATCACTGCAGGGCTCTGCTTGGTAAGTCAGGGTACACCTTTATTTATTATTTATTGCCATTCATCAGCATTGCTGTGTGCACAGTAACAGTGTTTGAGCAGAATTGTGCTCCTCCCCAGTCTGACATTCAAGGAAAGTTCTGTTTTTGTTACCTCTAAAACTAAGAGAGGCAGGCTGCTGGTTTTTTGAATGGTGTTTTTTGAATGATGTTTTTTGAATGGTGTTTTTTGAATGGTCTGCTTCCTATGACAAGGCAGACTTAGAAATGCATTGCATTCATAGACTGCAAGATGTGACATTGTTTTAAAGCCCTGTATCCTTCTGCAAATGTAATCTCTTTCATGGAATGACTGCAAAAAGTGGGTTATTTGCACTAAGAGATTCACAATGGACGTTTGCAGATTAATCTTACAGCATATTGTCACTGTGGGAATGGCCAAAGATGGACACAACACTCAAAAGTTCAAATGGCAAAAGCAGAATCTTTATTACAGACAGCTTATATATATATGATTGTTTAGATGATTATTTATATTTTTATTTATGTGATTATTATATTTATATGGTTATCAGAGGGCACCATGTTTAATTCCAATTGCTCAGCAGCTCCTTGTAATTCATTCCATTGGTTGGTAATGGCCAGTGCAGATGTTCATCAAAATTTTTCTCTCTGGCCATGTTTACATGTTTGTCAGGTTTCACCTCTGTGTGACAGCAGGTGAGTGTGGCTGTAAAGGAGGGTGACTGCAGCAGCAAAGCCATCACTGCACTTTTTGTGTTGGGAGAGATAAGGCTCTATCAGCAGAGCAAGCAACTGAGCAAAACCTATTGTTGTTTGTGGGTTGGAAGGCAGTTTGATATCAAAACATAAAAAGCCATGCAACCAGATCATTCTTTGCTCTGTGCCTCATTCTTGGAATTAGTGCCCAGCTTTTCAAAGTTGTTTTCTGTTACTGCTGACAGTTCATTTGCCATGAGGAGCCCAGGCATTTCCTGGCATCCTCATCCTCAGATCAGCTCCAGGGTCAGAGCCTCTGAGGATCACTGTAACTGCTGGTACTAATTCAGTTTCTTTATTCCTATTAATGACAAGAAATGGAGCTTCCTGCTTTGCCTCTCATGTTGCCATTGACTACTTCCAGGTTCTCATACTGGTTTTCCACAAACCTCATTTTCCCCTGCAATATAATAGTCATGCACAAATCTTTCCAGTGAGCAGTGTGCAAGAAAAGATGCTCCAAAACTTACCCAGAGCACAGGCCAAGTCTCTAACACATGCAGTGCAGTTTGGTTTCCTTCTGAGCTAATTCCCTGTTCACAGAGTAGGAGGAATATTCACAGGTGTCACTGTAATGTGCTGGTTCTTGGAAATTCAAAATTATGTTCTTTCTCATAAACTGGGGATAGCATATGTAACCTTATGCTAAAATTATGCAATGCATCAGTGAGCTATTCTTTTTTTCAGAAATGAATATTGTTTATTAGATGAGGTATTTCTTCATCGCAAATTTTCAGAGCACAGTTATTTCCTTGGTGAATATGAGTAATTCACACATATTCTGCTACATTTCCTGTTTGATTCTAAGGGAAATACTTGCAGCATCCAGCTTAGAGGGTCTGATCCCCAGTGGGAGGCTGACATGACTTGAAATACCAAAGAACTGAGGAAAAGAGATAAGAAATATGTAAATATTGCAGTTGTTGCTGTCAAAACTCATAGACTCATTTAGACTGGAAATGATCATTGAGTTCAAACATCAGCACTGCCAAGGCCACCACTAAACCACTTGTTGTCCCCAAGCACAACATCCAATGTGCTTTAAACCCCTCCAGGGATGGTGACCCCACCCGTGCCCTGAGCAGCCTGTTCCAGTGCTGGATAACCTTTCATGTGAAGAATTTCTTCCTAATATCCAACCCAAACCTGCCCTGCCACAGCTTGAGGCTATTTCCTCTTGCCCTACTGTTTGCTACCGACCCCACCTTGTCCCACCATCCTTTTGGGTACTTGTGGAGAGCAGGAGGGTCCCCCCCAAGCCTCCTTTTCTCCAGGATAAACAACTCCAGCTCCCTCTCCCTTACACTGCTGTAGGATGCTACTAAACACTGAAATGACAGGGGTGAGGTGAAGTGTTAGCAGCACATTTGCATGGGTGGGAAAACCAAATGAGCGCTGTTAAAATTGAAATGAAACCACCAGTGATGCAGCAGATTGTAGTAGGTTACAAAACAGGAGAAAGCTTAAACATGTATGGATATTTTATAACTCCATCATTGGGTATTTTAAAGCACAGGGCAAGCAGCAGTGAGTAAATATTTAGGGCTATAATTTTTTGCACAGTGTTTAGTCATATATTAAATGCTTACAATATTCTCTCCCAGAATTCAGCCTATAGGGAAGAATATTCTGCTTTTCTGGAAAGTGCTTGTCCTAGTCTCAGAACAGGTTGGGATTTTTGGGTGCTTATTTACCCTTTATGCAAAGATTGCAATGCTTGCTAGGAGAGGCAGGTGGGGAGGGGCTGTCTGGACCAGTCAGTTACACCCCCAGGTAATGGCTGGAGGTTATAAATGAATAAGTAAAGTCCTGGAATTTGTTCCAACAGTGACTATGTTGTGAATTGGGCACTAAAGCAGGAGCTGTGGGTGCCCATTAATAAGCCCAGCTATGAGAGCTGAGTGCAGGGATGTGCTTGCAGCTGTGCCTCAGCTGTGCACAGGGGGTGGGAGTGCTTCTGGTGCCTCACACTCACTCCTGCTTCCTGTTCTCCTCCTACTTGTGGTGGCCTTTCAAGGAGATTTACTTCCTAAATAAAGAGTGCTGGACAGTAAATGTGAATTGCAGTAATAAAGTAATTTACTCACTCTTGTTCTGTCTGCTATAGACCTTGAATAAGAATGGATGTGCATTTAGAAAGCCTGACTGCTTCCTAAATCCTGAGAATCTGGGATTCTGTTGGATGATAAATACTGCAAATTAGAGCATGCATTTCCTATAAATGTTCAACAGTTTCAGACTGGCCATGATTTGCCTTTATTTTGACTGCTACCAGCCAGGATTGGACAGCACACAGACACTTCTTCCATTTGATCTGCAAACTCAGATGCAACAACTACTTTGTTGGAGGGACAACATGACAACGTCTTTCTCACCCAACAGCTGCCTGAAGGACCCAGCAGTTGCTCCTGGATGCAGTGGAAGGTTGGATTGCTTCAGCAGCCCTGAACTGCCCCCAGCTCCCCAGCATGGTGATGCTTGGAAGGAAACCCTACAACCAGAGCACACACCCAGCTTCTCCCAGTCATGCTGTCCTGCATAAAGGTATGCTGCTCTTTTACACCCTTGTCACTGCAGTGATGTGGATATGTGATAACCACCCTCTCTGCTCTTCATCTGTTTGTCACCAGCTGGCAGTTGTTGATGATTTATAGGATTAGGTTTCAGAGCTCATTAACCAACATAAGAGCATCTATGTGCTAATTTCATCCTGTCAAATATTATTTGTAATAAACACGCTGGTAATTTCACCCAGTGGGGTTTATTGACTAAAACAGCAATGAGGCAGTGCCCACACACTGCTCTGCTGGGTCTGTCATTAGTGAGCAGGCTGGGTGGCACAGCCCCATGTGCTCCTGGAACCCTGCTCAGCATTTGTCGGATGGAGAGCCTGATTCAGCAATCCCTGCTGCTGTCAGTGGAATGGTGACAGAGCTCTTCTTTTCCCTGGTAATTGCAATGTCTTTAAAAGCATCCTCAGAACACAGGCCTGTACATGGGTATTTTCTTTTCACCTGAAAGCTCATGCCAGCATTTGTAGCTTAGGCAACAAATGTTATTTATTTTGAGAGCCTAAGGGACTATCTGTTAGCAAAGCAAGGAAAATAGAAGGATCTGAAGGCACAGTTGGTCCCATGGCTCCTGGCTTTGGGTGCTGGGACCCAAAGTTCCTTTCAGTAATGCTCCACACTTGATCTGAGCTATGGAATGCTTGGAGGTGACGTTCTCAACCTGCCTGATGTTCTTCATGCCACCCAAGCCCACCTCTGGTGTGTGGTTTCTCTTCCTTTCAGGAAGCAAGGCAAGGTTCTTAATCCCACATCCCTGCTTAGAGCAGATGACTATTGACAGGAAAAGCTGCATTAAAACAGTGCTTGTCTTACAGCCAACTCCATGGAGTCAAAATCAGTGAGTGGAAACTCCAGACAGCAATAAGGACAGACCTTGTGAGGCTGGATGCTGAGAGCTTGGGATGGGATTGTATTGTGACAATGGTGACACTTGTGACAACTGTAAAACTAGAAGACAATCCAAATTCTCTGTGATGGGAGTGCTGGGGTCAAGGAAAGAAGGTGGAGCTGGAGAAGGCTGTGCATGCAGGGCCAGGGGTACATGGGGTGCATATGAGCCCCAGGCTGTGCCTGTACAGCCACAGGGGAAGGGTTCTGGAGAGAGCTGTCTCCTCTCCAGGCTGCTGCTGGGGATGTTTGGGGCAGGAGCCACCTCCACCACATCCCACACTCCCACTTTCCCTGGGCACAGAGTGAGGAATGGGCATCAAGCACCAAGGATTTGTTACAGGACTCGCCACTGTTGTGCCAGCCTGGGGTGTTTGTTACAAAGGCAGGCTGGTGGTGCAATATAAACAGCAATAAACCCTGCTGGCATAGCAATTCTGTGGTTAGGCCAATTCCCCATGTTTAGAAAAAAATTATTTCTATGTATTTATTAAAGTCTGTAGCTGCTGTGGTGAGGATTGATAGCACTGGTACCCATGAGATGAACAGATGGTGCTTCTCCTGTGTTTTGTTACTGCTGTCACAGATGGGAGAGCTCCTGCTTGAGGAAAGCCCTGCTTGGCAAGTGCTACCTGCTGGGGGTTGGGATGAGGAGAGCAGCCTGGATGTCAGGTCCTGCAGTCTCCATCCAGGACCCCATGGTCACTGCAAGCCTCCCCAGTGGTCAGGGCAAAGCTGGCTTAAGAGGAAAGTGCCACGAACCTTGTGTGCTTCTCTTTGACACCTCTGGTCTTCCACCCCAGCCCAGGCAGATTTACAGAGTGAGGGAGAGGCTTTCTCAGTGGTGGAAGCTTCTGCAGTGCTTCCTTGCCATGGTGCACCCTCCACCTGCAGGGCAGGGTGTGTGCCACCAGAGCTGTGTGCACAGTGCTGTTCCTCCATCCCAGCAGAGCCCAGAGCTGTGTGAGCTGTGTGCACAGTGCTGTTCCTCCATCCCAGCAGAGCCCAGAGCTGTGTGAGCTGTGTGCACAGTGCTGTTCCTCCATCCCAGCAGGGCCCAGAGCTGTGTGCACAGTGCTGTTCCTCCATCCCAGCAGGGCCCAGAGCTGTGTGCACAGTGCTGTCCATCCATCCCAGCAGGGCCCAGAGCTGTGTGCACAGTGCTGTTCCTCCATCCCAGCAGGGCCCAGAGCTGTGTGCACAGTGCTGTTCCTCCATCCCAGCAGGGCCCAGAGCTGTGTGCACAGTGCTGTCCATCCATCCCAGCAGGGCCCAGAGCTGTGTGCACAGTGCTGTTCCTCCATCCCAGCAGGGCCCAGAGCTGTGTGCACAGCCCTGTCCATCCATCCCAGCAGGGCCCAGAGCTGTGTGCACAGTGCTGTCCATCCATCCCAGCAGAGCCCATGGGACCCAGCCAGGGCAGCCTTGCCTTGCCCCTGCTATTCCTCCTTGGCATCACCACCTACCAGACTTGGCTGCAGTTTCCCAGACATTAACACTGAGGGCACATCTATCCTGAAATTATCTGCCCTGAGCCCTTAATTTGCAAGCCAGGCAGGCTGAGCTTTTGTACTGCAGAGGCACATGTGGCTTTCACCTGAGCAGACTTGTTGTAGAGTAGCCAGAGCTGCTGGGGATTGCATTGGGAAGGAAGTTTTGTGAAGTTTTTTACAGGTTCCTCTCCATTCTGCTCCCTGAGCAGCTCTATAAGCTTTGTTTGGCACATCATAAAAGCTCTTGGGTGCTTTGGCAGCCAGTTGTCTTGTCCCAGTGGCCAGGCCTGCAGCAGCAGCTCCCAGCTTAGCCCCTGTGCTGGCTGGGGGCATCTCCTCACTGGAGCTGTCACTGCCAGAAAAATGCTTCAGCAGCTGCAGTCTGACTCCAACTGCTCTTAAAATCCCATTTACAGGATTTCCTCTCTGCTTTGCAGGGAGACAGTCCTGAGCAATGTGCTTAGCTGTTTGACAGGCTCTGCTGGCAGCTTCAGCAGTGAAACATGGCTGGAAAAGGGCAGGATGGCCCGTGACCCTAAAATGTTCTTGCTCCTCTGTGCTTGCCATTGATTCTGCTGCTCAATTTCCCAGCAAGACTAAGTCTAAATCATTTATAGGTAGGCATCTTTCCTGCTCTGAAAAGCTTCTTAATAGATTTGTAACTTGAAGGAACATTTTCCATTCTTTTAATCATAGAAAAATGTTCTAGAGATGATCATCAATATCAGCATTTCTCCAAAGGTCACAAGCCTAAAACTGTTCAGGATTTATTTTTATTTTTACTTAATATATAATTTGAATGCAGAAGCAAAATAATGATAATGAAATTCAGAAGAATTTAAGCAAAATGACTTTGTTTCTATAGAAGCCTGTTAATGAGCAGAGTATTGATATTCACTTTAGGAGTGGGCCTTGGAAAGTTCAGTAATAGGATTTCTATTTTAACTCTACTGCTTTGAAGCTTAATTTGCCTCTGCAGCATGTTCAGCTTTGAGGTGAACAAGCAGTAAAGAGGTTGTTCTTTGCTGGGAAATGCTTCTGATATTTCTGCATGGTGACAGGGGGACACCCAAGATCCTCAAGGGAACACTGTCCCTGCCCTAACACCCAAACTCCTGAGTGCCCTGCTCCAAGCTGGCCATGCAGGTGCTCAGGGTGCTCACCTGGCTCAGTTACAGCTTGCCAGCTCTGTACCACCTTGGACCCATAGGCTCCTATTTTCACAGATTATTTCATAGCTGAATGGAAGGGTATTTATTTCCAGGACTGTCTCTCTTTTCTGGAAAGGTTCACCAACCATTTTTAATCAAAGCCCTGGCTGCCCCTGCATCACCCCCAGCAGTTCCTGCTCTCTGCCCAGCTGTGTGTGTGCCACTCTGTGGGCACTGAGCCCAGACACAAAGTGACACCCACTGCCCAAAGCAGTGACCTACAGCCAGCTGTGCCAGGGGCTGTGCCGGGGGAACCAATCTGGGTGTGGTGCCAGGGGAACCCATCTGGCTGTGGTGCCAGGGGATCAGTCTGGGTGTGGTGCCAGGGGGATCCACATGGGTGTTGGGCCAGGTGGAACCAATCATGGTGTGGTGCCAGGGGATCCATCTGGGTGTGGTGCCCAATCTGGGTCTGATGCCAGGGGAACCAACCTGGCTGTGTTGCCAGTGCCCCCACAGTGGCCAGAGGGGGATGTGAGCCCCAAGCTGCAGTGCCCACTCCTGCCTTCTCCTGTCTCCCAAAGGTCCCCACCACTTCACCAAGGCAATTTAAAGAATGACACTCAGATGATTCTCAGTACCATCTGCCTAAACAGTGCTTTTTCTAGAAAGTCAATTAAGGTACAGTGCTTCTTTGCTGACAATGATGACTGCACTCTGATGAGAAATGCACTTGATAATTTAATAGGCATTTTGTCTTTTTCCTAACAAGATGTGTTGATTTCTGAGAGGTCTGTTATTCACTAAGAGAGGAAAATATATGAACTGAAGTAAAACATAGAATATTTATTAAGGTGAAGGATGTTTAATCTCTCTGAGCTAAAAATAAAACTTGTGAGCTATTCAGACTATTGGCATTTCCTAAATTTCTTTATCATTCAGATGTTGGGACAGTGGGTGGGGAAAATGGAAGCTCTTTAAATTAAAAAGAATTGTTCAGAAATAATGGAAATAATAATGTTTTGACTTTTGAAGTAAAAAAAAGAATAATTTCAAGGTCAAAGTCAAAATGTTGAATAATTTTTTTAGGGCTCCTGTTTGAATGAATCAGTCCCAATCTGCAGGAGGATTCTTGACATTTCAGTTCACAGAAGTTTCTGATTGTCTTTGGTGCTGGATTATGGAACATTTTCCGAGTCTCAAATGCAATATGATTGGAAAACTCTTTTCCACTCAGCCCTGGTAAAACCTCCAAGGAAGGGGGTGAAGACACAGGCTCCCTGCCAGAGCACAGGAGCTTTGCTAAACCAGCATCTCCATATTCTTTCTCTTAGAAAATGCTTTTTCCACCACTCCAAATAGTGGAGGGCTCGATGGAAGAGCAGGAGACGCAGTGACACTGTCCCATGCTGGCTGGAAACCCTGTGGTGCCTCTGGGGCAC